TTCAGGGTGGGGGTCCCAACTAGGGTGCTTGGCCAGCCTGGGTGAGGGGCTGATGGCTGTTTGGAGGCTGGTCAAGCCCCCCCAGTGGGGACCCTCACCCTATGGAGGTTTGGCCAGCCTGGGTGAGGGGCTGATGGCTGTTTTCAGGCTGGCCACCCCCCCTTTAGGGTGGGGGGTCCCTACTGGGGTGCCTGGCCAGTCTGGGTGAGGGGCTGAGGGCTGTTTTCAGGCTGGCCAAGTCCCCTGTTGACAGAAGCTCCCAGCCTCACCTTTTTTTCTTTTTTTTTTATTCTGGGATTTATTTACCTTCTATAATTGAAACTTTGTATCCTTGAGAGGAGCTCAGAGCTGGCCAGGGTAAGTGGGAGGGAAGCCTGGCTTCCTCCATCACCAGGGGCAAACCAAGCCTCCTGCTGACTCCAGTTCTGTGGCCACAGCCAGCTGAAAGCAGGTATCTGGGATTTATTTACCTTCTATAATTGAAACGTTGTTGCTTTGAGTGGAGCTCAGAGCAGGCTGCAGCCGGCGGGAAGCTTGGCTTCCTCCATCACTTCAGCAACCAAGCCACCTGCTTGCTCCAGTTCCGTGGCTGCCAGCCGCCATCTTGGTTGGGTTAATTTGCATACAGTTGCTCTGACTGGCTGGTGGGCATGGCTTAAGGCATAGGGAAGGTGCAGTCAATTGGCATGTTTTCCTTTTATTAGTGTAGACAATAGCTGAGATCTTTAAGGCAGAAACTATCAACCCCATGATTTCACACATACACCAGAAATAAAACAGCAGCACCAAGTGATATGGGAGTAGAATCACATTATTTCCTTTTCAAAAGACTTGAATGGTTTCAATTAAAATGAGAAAACACTCTAAGTAATTGTACACATAAACATGAATTCTTTTAATAGATTCAAGTATACAAACATTACCTAACAACATTTAAAGTTTGGAGTACACTGTGCCTACTGATTTAGGGCTATACCTGAAAGGCATTTTGGCTATTGATCTAGTATGAATTCAGTGAGACTTTAAAATTCATAATCAATTAAATACTTGGATAAAGTTTTTATATCTTTAAAGCCACTTTAAGGCATAAATTCCTTGGAGATTTGTAAACTCTGTTTTAAACAAACTCCTTCCTCCTATAAGAAAAACATAGAATTTCTGCCCAATTACAAAGCCTGATAAGACTGGGGCTGTAGGTCCAATTATACGATTTCCCACATTCTTCAGTTTTAAGGTTTCCCTCAAGAATAAATTCTAATGTGAGCAACAAGCTACGGATGCCGATTAAAGCCTTTAGGACAATGTTTCCATTTGTATTGTTTCTCTCCAGTATGAATTCTGATGTCGGGTAAGGTTTGCATACTGAGTAAGCTTTGTCACATTCTTTATATCTGCTGGGCTTGTATTCAGCAATAATTACTAGATGTTGTATGCCATATAAATTAAGATATACACTTTGACATATGGCTCATAATTTGTAAAACCTTATTTTATCATTCTCAATGATAAATCATGGTTGAATCTTTGGATGAAAACTTTATATTATTGCTCTTTCTCTTTAGAATGATTCCTAAAATGTTGAGTAGGGTAGACCTTAGATTAAAGGCTTTCTCACATTGTTTACAGT